TTGGGGATAGAACAGATTCCAGGCAGCCTTTGGGAGAAAAAATGGGAATGAGCAGAGAGAAAAAATGGGAATGAGCAGAGAGAAAAAATGGGAATGAGCAGAGAAAAAAAAATGGGAATGAGCAGAGAGAAAAATGGGAATAACCAGAGAAAAACAAAAATGGGAATGAGCAGAGAGGAAAAAAATGGGAATGGCCAAAGAGGGGAAAAAAATGGGAATAGCCAGAGAGGAGAAAATAGGAATGGCCAGAGAGGAAAAATGGGAATGAGCAGAGAGAAAAAAAAATGGGAATGGCCAAAGAGGGAAAAAAAAAATGGGAATGGCTAAAGAGGGAAAAAAAATAGGAATGGCTAAAGAGGGGAAAAAAAAAATGGGAATGGCCAGAGGGGAAAAATGGGAATGAGCAGAGAGAGAAAAATGGGAATGAGTAGAGAGAAAAAAAAAAAAAAGGAATGAGTAGAGAGGAAAAAATAAGAATGGTCAGACAGGAAAAATGGGAATGAGCAGAGAGAAAAAAAAAAATGGGAATGGCTAAAGAGGAAAAAAAATGGGAATGAGCAGAGAGGAAAGATGGAAATGACCCAAAAAAACAGGAAAAACCACCAAGACAGAGCTAAAACCTGGAGAAAATCGATTTAATTCTTATTTTTCCAGGCCATTCCAGCTGTGCAGGTTCAGGAAAAGATTTGGAACTGGCAGAAGAAAAACTCCAGAATTGAAATTCTGGGTAAGAAAAGAGCAGGAGATGGATGGGGAGGATTTTGCCTTTCCCTGGTTGGTTTGGAGATGGGAATAAAAAAAAAAAAAAGAAATAAATAAAAACCTCCTGACATCCCAGGAGAGATCCTGCTGGATTTTCCTGAAAGTTTCCTGGAATTTTGACTGAAATGTGAAATTTGGAGGCCGAGTGCCACCTAGTGCTGCACGGCCTCTTAGCAGGATTCCAATTCCAAAAAAAAAAAAAAAAAAAAAAAAATTAAAATAAAAGTGGATCAATTATGTTGGCATTCGGGGATAAATTGAATATAAAATTGAATTTAAAAAAATTAAAAAAAAAACCCCACAGCAGTAATGACGTGTTTGTGTTCAAAGGTAAATTTGGGATTTAGATCTGACAATAAGGGGGGGAAAAAAAATCCTCAAAATTCCTTAAAATGTCCAAGCAAAATTCCTTAAAATGTCCAAGCAAAATTCCCTTTGGAGGTGGCAAAGCTTAAAAAAAACGCCTGGTGACTACAATCCCTTCGCTTGTTAG